CAGGAGGAGGACGCTGACGCGAACTACGACCACTAGCGCGAGCAGCACGGACAAGCGACGCAGGGCGAGACACAGGCTCACAACGCTCAGTAAGACCTCAAGTAGGACCAGTGTAGGGAGAAGGTGTCAAGGTGAGAGAGGAATGATGTCGACTAGTTTGGGGCATGGGGTACAAAAGTGACGAGAGAAAAGTTGTACCCCCTAAGAAACACCCCTACAAAACCTAAACCTAAATTATATAAATCATATAATTTGACACACCCCCATAGGTGAAGTAGGGGGATAGCCAAACCTAACAGGGGTCACAAGACCAGTTCACATGCACGTTTATAACACAGCAAGAGATACAGTGATCACATCCTAGCAAAAGTAAACATGCAGGCATATATATATATATATAGTGATCACAGTACAAGCAGGGTCAAGAAGTAAGCAAGTGAGGTCCAGTAGGTACAAGGCCTAGCAGAGTGCAAAAGCGCTGATGGTCAACAGGCGGAAGCGCCTTGGTGAACACATCAGCAGTGTTGGCCTCAGTGGCCACGTAACGCAGACAAAGCTGACCACGCTGCTGCAGCTCTCGAGCAAGAAAGTACCGCAGAGCAATGTGCTTCGTTCTGTGCTCTAGTCTGTGCTCCTGACACAAGGCAATGGCAGCCTTGTTGTCGACGTACAACACTGGAGGAGAACCAGGCCGCTCTCCAAGGTCGGTCAGCAGGTAGGTCAGCCAGCGTAGCTCCTGGGCAGCCATGGCTGTGGCGTAGATCTCAGCCTCACAACTGGAGCTGAGAACAGAAGAAGAGCGTGTAGAACGCCAGGAAACTGAGCCTGAGCCAAGGCTGAAGGTGTAACCCTGTGACGACCGCTGAGTAGCCTGGTCGTCTGCCCAAGAAGCGTCTGAGTGCCCTGTGAGAACAGGCCGGTCTCGCCCTCCAAGCACTAGCCCCATGCCCGACGTACTGCACAAGTAGCGCAACACCCTCTTAGCTGCATCCATGTGCTCCTTCCGGTGACGGCCAGGAGCGACATAGCGTGCAAGGATGCTAAGAGGGTATGCAAGGTCAGGTCGAGTGCAGGTCATCAGGTACATGAGGCAACCCACAAGCTCTGGATACGGGCCACTCGGCTCTACGGACTCATCCGAAGGCAGAGCTGAGAGCGAGTGTCCCGTAGGCAGAGGAGTGGGCTGAGGCGAGGAGTACGTGAAGCGGAAGCGCTGAAGGACCTGCTGCACCATGTGTGACTGAGTCAGGGTGATGGTGCGCCGTGCTCTGTCCCGGGTGATCCGCAAGCCAAGGTAGCTTGTCAGTTCACCCAGGTCTGTGCACGTGTGTCTCTTCTGCAGCTCCAACTTCACGTGGGCGAGACCAGCTCTGTCCGCTGTGGCAAAGACCAAGTCGTCGACGTACACGAGAATGTAGAACGTCGGCAGCGAGGTGTCGGTGCGTAGAAACAGCGACGGGTCAGCAGTAGAGGGAGCAAACCCAAGAGCCGCAAGTGTCGTGCTCAGTGTGTCGTGCCACTCACGCGGTGCCTGGCGGAGACCGTAGACCGGCCGCTGAAGCCTCCACTGGGTGCCAGGGGGAACCGACCCAGTGAAGCCAGGAGGGCGGCGCAGCCTGATCTCCTCGTGCAGGCTGCCCTGCAAGAAAGCTGTGCTGAAGTCAAGAGAGTGAAGCTCGTAGTCGCGCTGAGCGGCTATGTGCAGCAGCACCCGAAGAGTAGTCATCTTCGGGGTGGGGGAGAAGGTCTGAAAGAAGTCGACTCCCTCTCGCTGACTGAAGCCCCTAGCCACGTAGCGCGCCTTGAAGACAGGCGGAGAACCCGGCGGTCGCTTCACCCTGAAAATCCACATGCCACTGACGATGTTCGCCCCAGGAGGGGGAACCTCGTCGACGTAAGTGCCAGTGGACTTCCAGGAAGCCATCTCTGCGTCCATGGCTGTCTGCCACTGAGAGGAGTAGGGACCCGCCATCGCCTCAGTGTAGGAGCGCGGGGTCGGGATGTCTGGTGCATCCGGGTCTCCCTCAGGGGCAACAAGCATGGACACGAGATGAGGCACAGCAGCAGCAAAGCAGTGAAACTCCTCCTGTCTGTCCTCAAGGACGTCCATGCCAAGAGCACACTCACCCCCGACGGACGGAGGACAGGCAGACTCAGACTCAGCAGCTAGGCTAGCAGCGTAGTCCAGGCGACAGCGAGAAGCAAAGTCAACCAGCTCAGCGACGAGAGCAGACGCAGCAGCGGACTCAAAAGACGGGTCAGTGACGACAGTAGCGAGAAAACGCGTGACAGTGGGACTGGCAGCACGACGGGAGTCAGACTCCGGGTCAGGAAGAGTAGGCAGCGAAGACTCAGGAGGAGACGGCAGCGGGACACGCTGCGGAGCAGTGGAGGGACGCAGAGTCATGTAGTGAGTGCCCGGGACAGGAGGAGGACGCTCACGCGGGGCACGACGACCGGTGCGCGCAGTACGGACAGGCGACGCTGGACGTGACTCAGGCGCACGACGCTCAGTAAGACCTCCCGTGGGACCAGTGTAGGGAGAGGGACCAGGGAGAGGGGAGGCGGGCGGTAAGTGTGACTGCGACTGGACTGGCGTGAGACCAAGAACCTGCTGAAGGAGCGGGACAAAGTAGGGTCGCGGCCGCGTAGCGGCTCCAGAACCAGTAGAGACAGCAGCGGCGGGGTCCTCAGCATCAGCGACAACGCCAACGTCCGGGTCCTCAGCACCAGTGACAACGCCAGTGTCCGGGTCCGCAGCACCAGCAGCAGCTCCAACGCCCGGGTCCGCAGCACCAGTGACAACACCAGCGTCCGGGTCCGCAGCACCAGCAGCAGCTCCAACGCCCGGGTCCGCAGCACCAGTGACAACACCAGCGTCCGGGTCCGCAGCACCAGCAGCAGCTCCAACGCCCGGGTCCTCAGCACCAGCGACAACGCCAACGTCCAGGTCCTCAGCACCAGGGGCACCACTCCGGAGACTGCAGCGCCGCGCGTACCACTCTCGGATCTGCTGAATGGGGGGGAGCTCCTGGGCAGGAGGGGAAGTACTGGGACGAGCTCCAGAAGCTCCGCTCCGGAGGCGGCAGTACTGTAGGTACCTCTCCTGCAGCTGCTGGGAGGAGAGAGCTCCTCCAGACGTAGTGCGCTCAGGCTCAACACCCCCAGACGCAGCACCCCCAGTCGCCACACCCCCAGGCTCCGCACCCCCAGGCTCAGTACCCCCAGGCTCCGCACCCCCAGGCTCGGGACTGTCAGGCTCCGCACTCTCAGGCTCAGCACCTCTGGCAGGGCGGGACTCGACAGCTATCTCAACAGGGTCAACCGGGTCTACCTGGGACACACCTGAGGGAGCGGCACCCTGAGGGGGGAGGGGGTCTACCACAGCAGCACCTGGTGCGAGGAAGAGCGGCGGTGGGGGGAGTGGGGCAGTTCGGTAGGGGAAGAGGCGGTAGAAGGGGACAGACTCGTCAAAAGTGACGTCCTGAGAGGCCAGAACCCGGCGCGAGGCGACGTGGTAAAACTGCCAGCCAGGCGCGTCGGGGACAAAGCCAAGAAAGACACAGGGAACAGCGCGACGCGAGATCTTGTCCGCAGACGTATCGCGGACAAAGGCTCGGGATCCCCACACCCGGAAACGCGACGCATCACCAACCTCTCCCGTCCACCGCAGAGTCGGGGAAGTCTCCGGGAAGGAGACACGGGGCCAGAGGTTGAGCTGATGCGCTGCGTAACGGACCGCAAACGGCCACAGAAAGTGGGGAGCAGCCGCATGGGTCAGGGAGGTACGAGCGACCTCCATGACCAAGCCAATGCGGCGCTCAGCGACCCCATTCTGCTGTGGAGAGACCGGAAGCGTGAACGACTGCTCGATGCCGTGCTCAGCACAGTAGGCTGCCAAGAGTTCGGAGGCGAACTCACCACCTCTGTCAGAGTGCAGGCGTAGGACTGGAAAGTCCGAGCGAAAGCGCTTGCCTAGCTGGAGACGGGCTCGGCTGATCCAGGGGATCAAGACATCAGGGACGTCACCCTTGCTGCGCAAGGGGAAGACCGTGGTGTAGCGCGAGTAGTCGTCAACAACTATCAGGAAGTACCGCTCCTGACCCTGACCACGGACGCGGGCTGGGCCCCACACGTCCATGTGTAGCGTCTGCAAAGGAGCAGTCGTCGGGGGGAAGGAGGAGGAGTGGGGAGCGGCGCGCTGCCGCCCCTCAACACAGGGAATGCAGTCGGGAGCAGGTGAGGGGGGGAGGGGAGGGAGAACCCGAGGGAGACCAGAGACAAGCTGCCGCTTGTGCATGGCACGAAGGCGCTGCACAGACGGGTGGCCAAGTCGGTGGTGCCAGAGGACAGTGTCGTGCGCCAGAGAGCGACACGAGCAGGGGGCGGACAGCTGACCTGACGCCGACGCAGACGCGGACGCAGCTACCTGAGGGGACTCAGTGGTCAGTGTGTACAGGTCCGACCCCGGCTCCCGAGTAAAGGTAGCCAGGTGGCGACCCGTCCGGGCACACGTGCAGTGGGTCACTCGCTCGTAGGCAGGGGTGGTCTGGTGAACACCCCCATCCTGTAGCTCACATCCTGCCACCAAGTTCGTAGAGAACGAGGGGAGGTAGAGACCCGACAGCGTGCCGGACGGGACTGCAGGACAAGGGAGGACAGTGGAGTGAGTCGCAACGACTGGACCCCCAGTGGGGTCAGCTAGCGAGACTGCAACCGGCCGAGCAAGAGGCTCAAGGACAGTGCGGTCACGAAAGAAGGAGCGGGAAGCACCTGAGTCAAGAGTGAAGGTGTGGAGTGCGGCGGTCGGCTCAGTACCAGGGGCGACTGGGGCTATAGCACCTAGGGCAGTAGCCTCACCAGGACCTGGGGCAGCAGACACACTAGTACCTAGGGCAGCAGCCTCACCAGGACCTGGGGCAGCAGACACACTAGTACCTAGGGCAGCAGCCTCACTAGCACCTAGAGCAGCAGCCTCACCAGAACCTGGGACAGCAGTCTCACAAGTACTGAGAGCGGGAGCCTGACAAGTCACAATGCCCGGGTCGGGCGGAACACGCAGGTACTGAGCACTCTCTCCACTAATAGACATCGCATACATGGCAGTGAGAATAGCATCAAAGTCTAAAGCCCAAATATCAACACCCTTCCTTTCCAGCTCAGGCCAGTGGGGCAGCTCAGCACCCCCAGGAAACTGGGCGCGCCACGCGTCAGTAAGGCGCTGGTAGCAGCGCTGCGTGGGGTGCGGCCTCCCACACGGCAGGCCCTTGCGGTCACCAGTGCGGTGGACGTACGTGCAAGTGGAACCACGCTGTGCGTACCACTCACGGGCGGCCTGGAGGGTCGGGGCGTGCTGCTGACCCTGGCCACCACCAGCGTCTCCACGACCACCACCGCCACCGCCACCGCCTCGGCCACCTCCACCCCTGCCGCGACCACGACCACCACCGCCGCCGCTACTACCGCCGCTGCCGCCACTACTCCCGCCGCCGCTGTCACCACCCCCACTGCCACCACCAGTGTCTCCAGACCCACCGCCACCCCCACTGCCGCCACCCCCACCGCCACCCTTGCCCCCCCTGCTCTTGCGACGCCCGCTCGAGGCAGACGCAGCCCCGACCTTCTCAGCACCAAGGAGGTCGACAGCAGCAGCAGTGGCGACAGAGGGGAGAAGGGGGGAAGGGGAACACCCCTCAAAGAAGGGGTGGCGGGGCTCGCCACGAGAGGCACCTACGGCGACGATGCTCGCCTCAGCTGCAAGTAGATCCTTCTCAAGGATGGCGATGGTGAGCTCAGTAGGGGAGCGAGCAAGAAGAGAGTCCCTGACTGCGCGCAGTGAGTCAGGGAGGCGGGTGACAATGTGGTAGAGCGTGAGCCAGAGCGGTGGGGGGTTGCTGGCGAGGAACTCGGCAGGCATAGCAGCGCGAAAGCGGGCCTCACTGGTCTTAAGGTGAGTAATGAGATCGGCAACGGTCTGAAAAGAGGCCAGGTCAGGGAAGAGGTAGGGTAGGGTGAGGCGGCCTAGGGTGGCAGACGCAGGCGAGGAGTAGCGGGCAACGACGGCTGTGTACAGGTCCTGAGCAGTCTTGCACTGGCCGAAGTGCTCGCGCTCATCTAGCGGTAGCGAGTTGCGGATAGCAAAGCGAGCATGCGCGTCGCGGGTCTGCCACTGGGAGCGTAGCGTGCTGGCAGCAGAGGAGTCAGGGGCAGTAGCATGGCCGAGGGCATGATCATACAGGGAGATGTCTTCCTTGGCAGTGAGCTGTAGGAAGAGGTGGAGATCCTCAAGCCAGGTGTCAAATTTCACTGGGCGACCCTCAGCATCGAAGGCTAGGACAGGAGCGCTAGCCATGATAGCAGGAGGAGGAACAGTCGAAAATGGAAGGATAACAGGAACAGCAGCAGTTGGGACAGCTGCGGCAGTTGTTGCAGTTGAGTCGGCGACGGCAGCTGCTGCAGGAGGTGCGGCTGTTGCCGCTGCTGGAGATGTGGAGGCGGTCGTTGCTACAGAAGGTGCGGCAGCTGCTGCTGCAGGAGATGCTGCGGCGGCTGCTGCTGAAGATGCGGCAGCTGCTGCTGCAGTAGATGCTGCGGCGGCTGCTGCTGAAGATGCGGCAGCTGCTGCTGCAGTAGATGCTGCGGCGGCTGCTGCTGAAGATGCGGCAGCTGCTGCTGCAGTAGATGCTACGGCGGCTGCTGCTGAAGATGCGGCAGCTGCTGCTGCAGTAGATGCTGCGGCGGCTGCTGCTGAAGATGCGGCAGCTGCTGCTGCAGTAGATGCTGCGGCGGCTGCTGCTGAAGATGCGGCAGCTGCTGCTGCAGTAGATGCTGCGGCGGCTGCTGCTGAAGATGCGGCAGCTGCTGCTGCAGTAGATGCTGCGGCGGCTGCTGCTGAAGATGCGGCAGCTGCTACTGCAGTAGATGCTGCGGCGGCTGCTGCTGAAGATGCGGCAGCTGCTGCTGCAGTAGATGCTGCGGCGGCTGCTGCTGAAGATGCGGCAGCTGCTGCTGCAGTAGATGCTGCGGCGGCTGCTGCTGAAGATGCGGCAGCTGCTGCTGCAGTAGATGCTGCGGCGGCTGCTGCTGAAGATGCGGCAGCTGCTGCTGCAGTAGATGCTGCGGCGGCTGCTGCTGAAGATGCGGCAGCTGCTGCTGCAGTAGATGCTGCGGCGGCTGCTGCTGAAGATGCGGCAGCTGCTGCTGCAGGAGATGCTGCGGCGGCTGCTGCTGAAGATACGGAAGGAGCCGCTGGAGAAGATGCAGCAGCTGCTGCTGTTGTAGATGCAGCGGCGGCTGCTGCTGAAGATGCGGCAGTTGCCGCTGAAGAGGGTGCAGTAGTTGCTGCTGCTGGAAATGCAGCGGCAGTTGCTGCAGAAGAAGCGGCAGTTGCTGCTGCTGAAAATGCAGCGGCGGCTGCTGCAGACAATGCGGCCGTGGATGCTGCAGGAAATGACGCGGCGGCCGCTGCAGAAGGTGTGGCTGCGGCTGCTGCTGGAGATGTAGCGGCGGCTGCTGCAGATGGCGCGGCGGCTGCTGCTGCTGCAGCTGCAGTGGCGACCAGGCCGCAAACCGGCGGCAACAAGGCCGCGAATCGGCGGCGACGAGGCCGCGGCCGGGCGGCAGCGACGCCGCAAAAGGCGCGACAGAGTCACGACACGGCCGTGGAAAAAAAAAAAAAAAAAGGGAGGGGGGGAGGCCGTGAGAGAGTCGCGCGGGGCCAACAAAGGGGCCGGGAAAAACGAAGAAAGAAACGGCCGCAACTGGCCGTCGAGGAGAAAGCGCCCGTGGCGCGACTAGGGGAAACGCAAAGCGCGCTCCGGGCAGAAAAAATTTCTTAAACGTGGTGGGCCCTTCCTAGGAACCTTCCTGCTCTATATCATGTCAAGGTGAGAGAGGAATGATGTCGACTAGTTTGGGGCATGGGGTACAAAAGTGACGAGAGAAAAGTTGTACCCCCTAAGAAACACCCCTACAAAACCTAAACCTAAATTATATAAATCATATAATTTGACAGAAGGAGCAGGCAAAGGGGAGGTAGGCTGCAACTGTAACTGTGACGGGACTGGCTGTGGACACCCTAAAGAAGGAGGAGGACCAGTAGAAGGCAGAAGACCAAGAACCTGCTGCAGGAGTGGAACGAAGTACGCTCGAGGCCGCGCGGCGACGCCAGACACATCAGGTACAGCACCAAAACCCCCAGTAGGAGCACCCGCTCCAGCTGCACCTCCAGCACCGCCAAAACCTCCAGAAGTACCAGGAGTACCCGTAGCAGGACCGCCAGCAGTAGTCTCAGCTCCAACACCCTCAGCAGCACCACCTCCAGTCGAACCCGCAGGCCCAGCAGCTCCAGTACTCCCAGTACGAGCACCTCCGGGACCCGCGACAGCAGCACCCTCAGTAGCCGAAGAACCTCTAGCACCAGTAGCACGCCTCCAGCGCCGGGTAAACCACTCGCGCAGCTCCCGTGGAGAGAGTGGCTCCCGCAGAGACGAAGCACCCGCAGAACCTCCAGGCGGAGCACCTCCAAGCTCAGCACCCCCAGGCTCAGCACACCCAGGCTCAGCACCCCCAGGCTCAGCACCCCCAGGCTCAGCACCCCCAGGCGCAGCACCCCTAGACTTAGCACCCCCAGGCTCAGCACCCCTAGTTTCAGTATACCCAGGCTCAGCACCCCCAGGCTCAGCACCCCCAGGCTCAGCACCCCCAGGCTCAGCACCCCTAGTCGCAGCAACCCCAGGCTCAGCACCCCCAGAGTCAGCACCCCCAGGCTCAGCACCCTCAGCAGCACCAGAGTCACCAGTGACCTCGACAGGCTCGACTGCGTCTACCTGGGACGGACCCTGAGGGGGGAGGGGGTCTACCGGAGGGGGACTTGGTACAAGGAAGAGCGGCGGCGGGGGGAGGGACGGAGTGCGGTAGGGGAAGAGGCGGTAGTAGGGGACCGACTCGTCAAAGGTGACGTCCAGGGAGGACAGAACACGGCGATAGGTGGGGTGGTAGAACTGCCGCCCAGGCGCGTCAGGGGGGAACTCCAGGAAGACGCAAGGAGCAGCACGAGGGGACAGCTTGTCCGCAGACAAGTCGCGGACAAACGCCCGAGATCCCCAGACCCGGAACGGCGACGCATCGCCAACCTTCCCCGTCCACAGCAAGGCAGGGGAGGTCTCCGGCCTGGAGACCCTGGGGTGTAGGTTGATCTGATGCGCCGCGTACCTCATCGCAAACGGCCAGAAAAAATGGGGAGCAGCCGCATGCATCATAGACGTACGAGGGACGTCCATGACCATGCCAATGCGGCGCTCAGCAATCCCATTTTGGTGCGGGGAGTCCGGAAGTGTGAAGGTCTGACGAATTCCTCGTGCGCGATAGTAGGCTCTCAGAAGGCTAGAAGAAAACTCTCCGCCTCTGTCCGAGTGCAGACGTAGAACTAGAAAGTCCGAGCCAAAGCTCTGCCTGAGCTGGAGACGAGCTGCGCGGATCCAGTGGATCAGCACCTCAGTGACATCACCCTTGCTGCGCAAGGGGAAGACTGCGGTGTAACGCGAGTAGTCGTCAACAACGAGCAGGAAGTAGCGCTCGTGACCCTATCCACGGACGCGGGCTGGGCCCCACACGTCCATCTGAAGCGTGTGCAACGGGGCCTCTGTCGGAGGAAACTGGGAGGAGTGAGGGGCAGCCCGCTGGCGCCCCTCAACATAGGGGACACAGGTAGGGCCAGGGCCCTGAGGAAGGGGAGGGAGGGACCGAGGGAGACCAGAAACAAGAAGACGGGAGGCCATGCCTCTGAGCCGAAGCAAAGAGGGGTGACCAAGGCGGTGGTGCCAGAGGAGAGTCTCGTGAGACAGGAGACGACACGAACAGGGGGCAGACTCAGGACCAGACCTGGACGCTGCAGCAAACGCCTGACCCGACGCAGCGACCCTACCCGACTCAACAACTGGAGGAGACGCAGTGGTTAGTCTGTATAGGCTCGACCCCGGCAGACGGGTAAACGTAGCCAGGTGTCGGCCTGTGCTAGCCTCTGTGCAGTGCGTCACCCGCTGACGCGCAGGAGTGAACTGGTGTACTCCCCCATCCTGTAGGTCAGCAGCACTCACCAAGTTCGTAGAGAACGAGGGGAGGTAGAGACCAGACAGGGTGCCAGAGGGAGCCGCCGGACACGGGAGGACTGTGGAGAAGTGAGACAGGACTGGACCCCCAGAGGGGTCAGCGAGAGACACCGCAACCGGCCGACTAAGCGGCGTAAGTGTGGTGCGGTCCCGAAAGAAGGAGCGAGAAGCCCCAGAGTCAAGGGTGAAGGTGAGGGAGGCCGAAGCCAACGTAGTACCTGAGAGCGCAGACTCACCAGTACTTGAGGACGCAGACGCACTAGCACCTAGAGCAGCAGCGTCGCAAGCACCTAGGGCAGCCGCCTCACCATTACCTAGAGCAGCAGTCTCAATGCCCAGATCGGGCGGGAAACACCGGTAACAGCCACCCTCATCACTAATAGACACAGCATACATGGCAGAAAGAATAGCATCAAAATCAAGATCATAGATGGCAACACCCGCCCTAGACAGCTCGCCCCAGCGAGGGATCTCTGTGGCCCCCGGGAACTGGTGACGCCACGCGTCCGTCAGTCGGCCAAAGCAGCGCTTAGTGGGGTGCGCACCCCCACACTGCTCACCCGCACGGTCGCCGGTGCGCAGGACGTAGGTGCAAGGACCAAAACCCCCACCCCGCTGGCATGCAGTGTACCACTCACGGAGCTGCTGAGGGGACAGGGTCTCACGACCGCGCTACTGGTGCTGGCGCGGACCACCACCGGAGCCACTCCTCTGCGTAGACCCGCGACCAGCTCCACCGCCACCCCCGCCGCCTCCGCCGCCTCCGCCGCCGCCGCTACTACCGCCGCCTCCACCGCCTCCTCCACCGCCACCACCTCCGCCACCTCTGCTCCCACCGCCACTGCCGCAGCCGCCTCCGCCTCCACTACCGCCACCGACACCTCCACCCCCACCACCACTCCCACCGCCACCCCCACTCCCCCCGCCGCCTCCACCTCCACCTTCACAGCCCCCGCTCGCCCCTCCAGTGCCCCTGCCCCCCTTGCCCTTGCCAGAGCGACGTCTCCCGCTAGGGGCAGACGCCGCACCGACCGACTCAAGACCAAGGAGGTCGGCCGCAGCAGCAGAGGTAACAGAGGGCAGAAGGGGGGAGGGGGAACACCCCTCAAAGATGGGGGTGCGCGGGTCACCACGAGAGGCCCCTACAGCGACTATGCTCTTCTCGGCCGCTAGGAGGGGCTTCTCGAGGAGGTCAACAGTGAGAGTGGTGGGACAGACTGAGAGGAAGTGGTCCCTGACTACGCGAAGGGAGTCAGGAAGGCGAGTGACTATGTAGTAGAGAGTGATGTACATGGGGGGGGTATTCTTGGCGCAAAAGTCAGCAGGAAGCGCAGCGCGGTAGCGAGTGTCACTAGTGCGGAGGTGCGTAATGAGGTCAGCGACTGTGGGAAAGGCAGCAAGGTCAGGGAAGAGGTGCGGTAGCATGAGACGGCTCAGTGAAGCAGTGGCAGGGGAGGAGTAGCGCGCAACTACAGCGTCGTACCAGGTCTGAGCACTCTTGTACTGACTAAAGTGCGCACGCTCGGAGGTAGGGAGGTGGCGACGCACAACGAGACGTGCAGCAGCGTTGCGCGTGGCCCACTGGGAGCGAACGGTGGCGTCGGCATCAGCAGCAGGGGCAGGAGAGGCGCCAGAGGTGAGGTCAAAGAGTGAGAGGCCGTCTGCCCTATCACACTGTAAAAACAGCTGCAGGTAATCTACCCAGACGTCAAAGTCAATGGCTCGACCCTCAGCGTCAAAAGCGAGGACACTAGGGGTAGCCATGACCACAGTAGACTAGCAGTGCAACCGCAGGGTGAGGGCAGTGTGACAAAAGTTAGAAGAAGAAAGAGGGATGAACTAGCAGAAATGGGGATACAAATAGCAAACCCTAGAAGGGTTGTACTCGCTATAGAGCACCCCACTACAGGCTAGAACATAAGAATAATATTCTGACACACCCCCATAGCCAAAGTGGGGTGTAATTAGCAGAGCAGGCAAAGCAAAACAAGCTCAGGGTGGATCACAATGTCACCACACATTCTGAGCACAAGTTCAAGAAGAAATAGTTTAGAGTTCACAATTATAAGCAAAGCTAGTGGTAGTCACAACGGGCAAGTGAGGAGGAGGAGGGAGAGTGAGGGGAGAGGAGACAGGAGGCGACGGCTGAAGCTGCAGACACACGGGCAACAGGAGGCAGACTGGCACAGCGGCTACCGGACAGCGCCCGGACTACAGGAGTAACAGGCCCCGCGGCTCAAATAGCGGCGGACGGGCAACGGACCCACGGGCGGCTGGCACAGCTGGCTACGAGTGGGCTACCGGGACAGCGCCCCGGACTACAGGTGCTGCGGACGACAAGCCGGCAGCCTCCGCTCAACCTCCCGCAAACAGTCCCACCCCCCTGATACACACCCACTGCTACACCGCTAGCTCTACTCCCACGCACCCCCCTTAAACCCTAAACCCCAGTCTCCCACACAACCACCCCCCTCAGCGACAGCTGCAGCAGTGGGAGACGAAGGAGGAGGAGGAGCAAGGGAGGAAGGCACACCGGCCACCCCCATACCGGCCACCCCCATACCCGCAAGCGGCCCCCTCAGGTCGCCTCGACGGACGACGGGAAATGGCAGGGGGAGGGGGGGGGGGGGGGGGGGGGGGGGGGGAGGCGGTGTGGTGAAAGGGGCCCACCACGGGCCTGGTTGGAGGGCGGGGCCGCGACAAGGGGCGGGGCCGCGATGAGGGGCGGG